GGGGATCAAAGAGTGAATTGAATCGGAGAGAGGGAACTGAACTGAGTCAGGGGGACCCCTAGATATTTTAGGAGGTGGAGCAGAATTAGGGAGACCCCAGTTCCACTAGGAGAGGGAACTGAATTTGGGAGACCTCAGTTATTTTGGGAGAGGAGGCTGAAGCAGGGGGATCCTGGCAATGCTGGGAGAGGGAGCTGAAGCAGGGACACCTCCCACTGTCCTGGACTGCTCCAAGTTCCAGTGTCTAGCCTGGCCTTGGACACTGCCAGGGATCCAGGGGCAGCCGCAGATTTTCCTCTGGGACTTCTCTTCCAGGGCTAGCAATTCCTCATTGCCAAGATGCCACCCATGGCTGCCCTCTGGCAGTGGGAGCCATTCCCTGGGTGCTGTCCCTGCAGGCCTTGTCCCCAGTCCCTCTCCTGGAGCCCCTTTAGCTCTGAGCTCTCCCTGGAATGTCCCTCTCCATGTGAGCACCCCCAGCCCTCCCAGTTGTGTCTCTCCCTGTGCCCCCATGGAAATCTCTCTTGGAGGGCTGGGAGGTGTCAGAGCAGGGGGGTGGCTCAGGAGGGGCTGGTGGCAGTGGGGCTGGGCTGTCCTTAACTGTCTCTCTGTTCTTTTTCTGTCCCTCCCTGTCTCTCTATCACTCTCTGTCCCTCCCCTGTCCCTCCCTGTCTCTCTGTCTCTCTCTGTCCCTGCCTGTCCCTCTGTCCCTCTGTCCCTGCCTGTCCCTCTGTCCCTGCAGCGAGAGGCTGCTCACTATTTCGGGTACGTGTACTTCCGGCAGGTCAAGGACAGCTCCATGAGGAGGGGCTACTTCCAGAAGGTCAGTGCTGAGTCTGGAATCCCGAGATCCCTGGCGCTGGAAAAGCCCTCCCAGCCCATCCAGTCCCAGCTGTGCCCAGTGCCCACCTTGTCCCGGAGCCCTGAGTGCCACCTCCAGGAATTCCTTGGACACCTCCAGAGATGGGGACTGTGAAGCTCCCTGGGCAGCCTGACCCCTTTCCATGGGGAAATTCCTGCTGATTCCACCCAGACCCTCCCCTGGCCCAGCTTGAGGCTGTTCCCCCTTGTCCTGTGCTGGTCCATGGGGACATCTCAGTCCCAGCAGTGTCCTCAGCTTTGTGCCCTCCACCTCCAGGAGCTCCTTTCTGACTCCTGCTAATGCAGAATTCAGTTTTTCCATCCCCACTAAACCAGTGAGTTTTCCACTGGAACAGTGGGATTGCTCAGGGAAGGAATTATCACACTTGGATGAGGTTTGAATTCAAATGGCCAAGTTTGGGGTTGGACAGGAGGGGTTTAAATGACTCCTGCATTCCTAATTAATGCACTCATTAATGGCCAGGGGAAGAGGAGAGTCAGTGTAACAATGAAACCTCCAGTGGGGCTGGGCTGGGACAGCTGTAAAAAATAGGGATTTATTTCACAAGGAGGCCCCAATTAGAACAAAAAAGGCCTTGCTGGACACAATTCACTATTCCAAGTTCTTTTGTCCTTCTCCAGCATTCCTTGACTTTGTTTATCTGCCCAATTCCCATTTCAGGAGTCGCTCCTTCGTGCTTCTCCACCTGAAATGGTTTCTGGGAGCTTTGAACCCACTAGCAATTGACTTTTATTCCCTCTCCAGCTGCTCCTTTGCCAGGCCATGCTCCCATCCCTTTGCTCTCCCAAATCCTGGCTCACGAGCAGGTGGCAGCAGGAATTCCACCAAAGTGCTGCTTGGGAGCTGCTCCACGGATTTAGTGCTGGGTTTTTTTTAAGTTCCCCCCTCTCTAAGCAGCACAGAAACGGGCAGTGCTGGGGTCAGGGGGGTCCTGATCCCAAATGTGCCGTTCCCAGTCCCTGGTGCTCGTGTCCCGCCTTCCCTACGTGAACCTGTTCCAGTGCCTGCTGCAGCTGATTGCTCCGGAGTACTTCGACAAGCTGGAGCCCTGCCTGGAGGCAGGTGAGCTGGGGGCAGGGATTCCAGCTTGGGATAGAGGGGCTGCAGCGGGAGGGTCCTGGAAAACAACTGCAGTGCTCCAAATGGCTTCACTCTGGAGCAGATTCCAGCAGGGATGGACCTCCTCCTGCTTGTCCAAGCGGATAACCAGGTGTGAAGGAGGGATTGTGGGAGGGAGGGGATGGGGCTGTCAGTTTGGATGCAGGGTGTTCCCAAGGAATGAGGGGTATTCCCAAAGCCAGGAATCTGCTGGGCCCCCATCAGGCCTTTTGTGCCTGATTTCATCCTGATCTATCAGCTCTGGGTTTGCCACAAGCCAGGGGGATGTGTGAGCTGGGAAAGGGAACAGTTCCCTTTCAGAAAGCCAGGATGAGCTGGACTTTCCCTCAGGTGAATCTCTTCCCTTCCTGTGCCCCACAGTGTGCAACGAGATCGACCAGTGGCCACCCCCAGTGCCTGGCCAGACCCTGAACCTGCCCGTGATGGGAGTTGTCATCCAGGTACCTGGGGAGCTGTGTTCCTGCATGTGAAATCCCTGCTCTCCCCACGTCCCCACAGCCTTGCCAGCTGGAAATGGTGCCTGGGATTGCCCTGCCAGTCCCACCCCAGCGTGATCCCTGCTCTCCTTGCCCTGCAGGTGAGGATCCCATCCCGGGTGGACAAGCCAGGCTCCAGCCCAGTGAAGCAGTGCAACCAGGAGGTGAGAGGGGCTGGAGCAGAGGGAGGAGATGGATCCTGAATCCTCTTGGGAGCCCTTTGGGCTGGGATCAGTGTGATCTCAGCAGATCCACGCCAGTCTCTCCTGCCTGGAGTCACACAGGGCTCTCTGCACCCACTCTGGGTGCTTTACTCACTGCTCCCCTTGCTTTTCCTGGGAAGTCAGGCCCTGCTGGATCTCCTGCCTTCACCCTGGAGTTGTTCTGAATTTGCTTCAGTGTTTTGGTTCAGCTCTGGTTTGGATTCCTTCCCCTTCCCTTTCTCTGACTAACACTGGTTTGGTGCCACATCTCTAACCCCGCTGGCTCTGCTCTGTCTCAAACACTCCCCCACCAGAGGAAACCCTGGAAAAACAAAAGAGCAGGCATGGGCAGCCTTTCCCATCTGGAAAAGAAGGGAACCTTCTTTAGTTTGTAGGCATAGGAATTAGTTTGGGATTGAGTGCTGTGCCCACCTCAGGGTGTGAGCCTTGTTCCCTGTGGCTGGCTGGTGGAATTCCAGGCAGGCTGCTCCCATCTCCTCACAGTTCACTAACAGCTACTAACAGCCTTTTCTCCCTTCCTCATCCAGAATCTGTTACCAGCCCCCCTGGTTCTCCCCAGTGTTCATGAGCTGGATCTGTTCAGGTGAGAGGCTCCTGCCAACCCTCTCCCCTCCACCTGCTGGGAGCATCCCATAAGCCACAGGGATGGTGCACAACCAAACACTGCTGCGTTCTGGGACTCCTTTGGGATTCTGGGCAGGCTTGGAGCTCAGGGTTGTGCCTGCACAGCCCCAGGCCCAGGGGAGGGGCTGGGGGTGAGAGCTGGAGCTGACCCAGCCCAGAGCCCCCCAGCCCTGGGCTGAGCCCAGTATGGGCAGCAGGGCAGGGGGATGCTGCCCCCGTGCCCCCTCAGGTGACACCCCAGCTGCAGAGCTGCCCCTGCCCTGGGACACAGCGGCAGCACCTGGAGCTGCTGCAGAGAGCCCAGAGGAGGCCCCAGAGTGGCAGGGGTGGCACTGGATGAGCTTTGAGGTCGCTTCCCACCCAAACCATTCCGTGACTCTCTGATCACAGATTGCCTGACTTTGCTTAGAGCATTTCCTTTAAACTTGTATGAAACAACTGAGTGACAGCCCAGGTGAAAGCAGCTGAATTTCCCTGTGGAATGCTGGAAGTCCATCCTAAATCTCAATTTCCCAGACAGGAGCACACCTGGGGGGGGCTTGCAGGCCACAGCTGTGTCTGTCCATCCTGACTGACCCTGTCATTGTCCCCATTGTCCCAGGTGCTTCCAGCCAGTGCTGATCCACATCCAGATGCTGTGGGAGCTGATGCTGCTGGGGGAGCCCATGGTGGTGATGGCACCGTCCCCAACCATGTCCTCAGAGATGGTCCTGGCCCTCACCAGGTAACACCCACAGGGTGGGAGGGACTGGGAGCTGTGACACCAAATTCTGGCAGCTTTTCCCTGCCACATGCACTCTGTGCTGCTCACCTGGCTCGGGTTCAGTTTGCTCGTGGAAGCTTTGCAAGACAAACTGCAAATATTCCAGCAAGGGTAGAGAGGACTACAAAGGAATCTCCCCTGATGGGTCCAGCCCTGAGGAATGTTCTCTGCCCAGCTCAGAGCTCTGTCTTAGCACAAAGCCCCAAAACCTGCAGCTTCCCCAGAGAGGTTCTGCCAGGTGCTGCTGCCCTGGGCTCAGCTCCAGGCTGGGACAGGGGGCTGGAAAGCTGGGAACGGCCCTGGGGGTGCTGTGCCAGCAGCTGCACACGAGCCCAGGGTGGCAGGAGGGCGATGGGCACAGCCCCAGGGTGGGCACGGCCCAGGGCAGGGACTGTCCCTGTGCTGTACCCTGCCATCCCCAGGGTGACCCTGTTACACCTGGGGTGACTCTGCCACGCCCAGGGTGACCCTGCTACACCCGGGGTGACCCTGCCATGTCCAGGGTGACCCTGCCACGCCCGGGGTGACCCTGCATGGCTCTGTGCTGTCCCTGCAGCTGCCTGGCCCCGCTGCGTTACTGCTGCGATTTCCGGCCCTACTTCACCATCCACGACAGCGAGTTCAAGGAATACACCACGCGCACCCAGGCCCCGTGAGTGCCCCCTGCCCTGCCACCTCCCCCCAGGGACACCTGGGGCCACCGGCGCTCAGCCTGTCCCCTCCTTCCAGGCCCAACATCGTCGTGGGCGTCACCAACCCCTTCTTCATCAAGACCCTGCAGCACTGGCCGCACATCCTGCGCGTGGGCGAGCCCCGCATGTCAGGTGAGCCCAGGGGGCCAGGGGAGCTCAGGGTGTTGCAGGGGAGCTTAGGGGGCCTGCCAGGGGAGGTGCCAGGCTGTTGCAGAGAGAGCCACAATTTCAGAAAGCTTTAAGCATTCCTCCATACACAGTAACAGCTTACCACTTCAGAAGGCTGCAGGCATCTGCCCTTGCTGTTCTTTGCCCACCCTTTTATGCCCTCATGTTCATGCAGTGCACCTGTGTGCCCTCTGCTGCCTGGGCACACCTGGGCACCCCATGGCTGTCAGTGCTGTCAGTGCTGCTCACCTGGGCACCCCAGGGCTGTCAGTGTTGCTCACCTGGGCACCCCATGGCTGTCAGTGCTGCTCACCTGGGCCCTGAGCTGCCCTGGCAGTGGTGTCCTCTCCTGGGAGAGCCCAGCAGCCCCACAGGAGCTCACCTCTGGCTGTGGCCATGTGCAGGATGAGCACGGAGCTGGGGCAGGGTGTGGGGAGCAGGAATTGCTGTCCTGGAGCTTCCAGGAGAGGAAGTTGAGAGAGGTGGAGAGAGCGAAATCTCCTCTCCTTTATCGAGCGCCGTTGTTGGCTGGGAAGCCAAGGAAGCCCTGGGGAGGAGGAGCTGGTTTCCAGCACATCCCCATCCCAGAATTCCAGCAGGGAAGGGAGCTGGGACTGCTCTGAGGGTGGGCAAGGGCAGGGCTGGGTGTCCCCTGGTGCAGTCCCAGCAGGAAGGACAGAGCCTGAATTGTCCCCGCTGTGTGGCACAGGAGACCTGCCCAAGCAGGTGAAGGTGAAGAAGCTGGCCAAGCTGAAGACCCTGGACACCAAACCAGGTGGGTGCAGGCCTCAGGAATCCCTCAGGACTGACCCTTCCTGTGGGGTTTGGCATGGGAGCTGTGTCCATTTGGGACTCCTGATTTTTCCTGATGCCGTGTTTTTCCCACCCAGGAATCTACACTTCCTATAAAACATTCCTTCACAAAGACAAAACCCTGATCAAAAGGCTGCTGAAGGTGAGCACCTCCCAGGCTGTCCTGGTGGGAAACTGCCAGAGCTGGCTTTGATCAGACAGAGCTCTCCAGGACTTACACTTTGGGATGATTTAGTCTGTAATGGGTCCATTCATCATGGCAGGTTTAGGATTTTCCATTTGATATTGAGGATTAAATCCTGGTGCTAGCAATAAACTGAGTGGGAATCATTTACATTAAAAAAGTCCTGAAAAAAAAAACAGGTTTTGTGTAGTGGAACTTGAAATTTTAATGTTTTTGAGTGGAGGGTGGGAGCTGTGCTATGGGATCTGCAGTTTGGGATCTGCAGTTTGGGATCTGGAGCTTGGGCAGCACTTCAGGCTCCTGTGGCTGCAGAGCTGCAGGTTGTGTGTGACAGTGAGGGGACACCTGGGTGACCCAGCTGTGCCATGGGTGACCCCGTGTGCCGTGGGTGACATTGGGTTACCCCACATGACCCAGCTGTGCCATGGGTGACACTGGGTGACCCCACATGACCCAGCTGTGCCGTGGGTGACCCCGTGTGACCCAGCTGTGCCATGGGTGACACTGGGTGACCCCACATGACCCGGCTGTGCCATGGGTGACACTGGGTGACCCCGTGTGACCCAGCTGTGCCGTGGGTGACACTGGGTGACCC